GCAGCTTTCAAGATTATCTGTTTTATCTGTTACTTTTGACAGTTTGATAATAGTGGGTTTCAGGGTGAGTCTTTTTAGGTTCATCTTAGTTGGAGATCTTCAAGTTTCTTGTATTGAATGTTCATTTCCTTCCTCAGATTTGGGACACTTTTGAAAATTGTTTATTTGAATAAGTTCTTTGCCCATCTCCTTCTTTTTTTCGGACTTCTATAAAGTGTATATTGGTCTGCTTGATGGTGTCATATAAATCTGTTAGCATTTTTTCACTTTTCCTAATTCTAATTTCTTTTTATTCCTCAAATGTCATGCCTTTGAATTCATTTACTCCTTCTTCTGCTTGATAAAATCAGCTGTTGATATTCTCTAGTGAATATTGTACTTCATTATTGTATTCTTCAGCTTCAGAATTTCTGGGTTTTTAAAAATCTTTTCTATAGGTTTTGATATTTTCAGTTTGTTCATGCATAATTTTTCTAATTTTATGTAGTTATCTGTGTTTTTGCTTTTAGCAAATTGAGTTTAAGATGATTATTTTGTGTTTTTAAAGATAATTTATAGACCATTGTTTCCAGTTGGTTTCTGGTGGTTTCTTTTGTTTCTCTGTTGCTTCATATGTCTGTGCTATTATTTTTTTTTTCTGGGATTTATGAATTTGAAAAAATCAGCCATGTCTCTTAGACTTTTTCTAACTGATTTCACACAGGAAAAGAACTTCACCAATCAGCCTGGGTAAAGTGTCTCCCAAACATTTTTAGGGATTCATCTTCTCTGGGCATGTAAAATCCCAGTAGAGAGGTTTATTGGTTTCTTTTTCCCAACCTTATAAGTACTATTTCCTCTGCTCTCTGGCTGCAGAACTGCAGGTTCTCTAGTACTGCAATGAGCCCCTTAACTCTTCTGTGTTCTCTGAGCCTCAGGCATCCAGAGTATGCTATTTCTATCAGTGCACCCAGTCAGTGACATAGAAACCAGACCCTTGTGCACTCCCCAAAAAACCAGAACATTGGATGGGCATTTTTTGCTTTTCTTCCACTCTAGAGAGTGACTGCAAGTTTGACATTTACTTCTGATCACACCAAGTTGTTCTGACTTAGTGGATGGGCTGTCATGGGTGAAACAAAATGGCTTTTTTAGCCATTTTTAATGTGGTTGTTCTTGGCTTTGACCTTAGCTGTATTACTGTGACTTATTACCTAGTTTCTCGAGTACTCTTTAAAGCTTTTTGAACTATATATTGTTGCAAAGTTGGTATCTCTGTGGGAAGCAAGGTCTGGGGTTTCTATTCCACCATCTTTCTGAACAACACCAAAGTCAGCATATATATATATATGTGTGTGTGTGTGTGTGTGTGTGTGTGTGTGTACACACACATATATATGCATATATACACATATATGTATATATATACATATGTATGTATACATATTTTGACATGGAGTCTCGCCCTGTCACCAGGCTCATTGCAACCTCCACCTCCTGGGTTCAAGCAATTCACCTGCTCAGCAACCCGAGTAGCTGGGACCACAGGTGCTCACCACCACACTCGGCTAATTTTTGTATTTTTAGTAAAGACTGGGTTTCACCGTGTTGGCTAGGATGGTCTCTATCTCCTGTACTTGTGATCTGCCCGCCTCATCCTCCCAAAGTGCTAGGATTACAGGTGTGAGCCACCGTGCCCGGCGCAAAGTCAGCATATTTTTAAACAACTCCCACTGTCCTCCCCAGCAATGTATGCAAGCACTGGTTGCCCTACATTCTTTCCAATATTTGATGCTCAAATATATTTTTTTCCAGTCATTCTATTGAGTGCACAGTGAAATCTTATTGTAGTTTTAATTTATATTTTCCTGACGACTAATATTAATTATTTCCGTATTGTGTGATTATTGGCCATTTGTATATCTTATTTTGGGAAGCTTCTGTTCATGGCTTTTCCCTGTTTTTCTATTGGTATGTTCTTTTTACTATTACAGTGCATGAGTTTTTAAAAATATTGTCTATATAAGCCTTTTGCCAGTGATATAAATTACAAAGATTTTCTCTTAGTCTTTGTATAACTACATTTTTCACTTGAGGTTGTCTTTGTTAACAGAAGCTTTATTTACTTTTATTGTTTTTGTATCCTCCCTAAGACATACTTGCCTACCCCAAGGTTGCAAAGATATTTTTTCTTATTTTCCTCTAGAGGGTTTGTTGCTTTAGCTTTTATATTTACATTTATAATGTATCTTATATTTTTGTGCATCTTAAATAAGAATCAATTGTGCGTGTGTATTTGATATATGTATACGTATGATTATTATTTGATCATACATGTTTGGATCTATTTTGGGATACTTTGTTATTTCCACTAATTCACATGTCTATTTTTTAAATGAAAATCACATTGTTTGTTACTGTAACATATCCTAAAGTGACCTAGAATAGGTTCTTCAACTTTACAATTTGTAAAGACTATTTGGCTATTCTACATCTATTGTATTGCTGCATATATTTTAGAAATAACATGCCACTTTGTATAAAAAGTGTATTGGAATTTTGAATGGAACTAAATTAAATTTATAAACAACTTGGAAATTAACCCCTTAATAACTTTAAGTCTTAGTCGATGAACATGATATACCTTTTCATTTTTTTTTCTCAGCAATATATTAGTCTTTTTAATTTGGAATTATTGCATATCTTTCATTAAATTTACTTATATGCATTTTATGTTTTAATTTTATTGTAAATAATATTTTAAAATTTCATTGTCCATTTGTTTATTGCCAGCACATAAAATGTAATTTAACTTCATATATTAACATATTGCACAATAGCATAATTTTATTATTAATTCTAGAAAGACTTTTCTGCATTCTTAATGTTTTCCTACATATACAATTGTGTTATCTGCAAATAAGGTTTTGCTTTTTCCTTTCCAATCTACATTTCTTTAATTTTTTTGACTTTCCTGTTGCAGTGGCTAAGACCTTCATTTTATTTTGAACAACATATTAACAGTAGACATCCCTTTCTCTCTCTTGATGTTAGCAGGGAATAATCCAGTTTTTTTTTTTTTTCTCATTAATTAGGGTATTGAATATAGGTTTTTAAAGATGTTCTTAATCAGATAGAGGAGCACTTCTATTCCTAGAACTCTGAAGTTTTTAATTTGCTTTTTTCAAAAAAATTGATGGTGAATTGTCTCAAATATTTTGCTGCATACATTGAAATATTATGTATACGTTTTCGTTCTTTAGCCTTCTGATATAGTAAATGTTTAAAATGGATTTTGAATGTAAAACCAACCTTGCATTTCTAGAATAAATACCACTTACTTGGTCATGATGTGACATATTTTTCATATAGTACAAGGTTCTGTTTGCTAATATATTGTTTACTTTTTTTGTGTGTATGTCCATGAGACTTGATAGTCTCTTTCTTCTTTTGTAAGTTTTTGTTGGATTTTTTTTTTTTTAATTTATTTGTTCACTCCAACTAAGTTGTCAATTTCTTTCATGAAGTTATTTATCATGTCCTCTCATTATTCCTTTTGACATCCGTTAACTCTCAGTAATGACCCCTCCTTCATTCCTGATATTGATAACTTGTATTTTCTTACTTTTTTTTTCTAATTTTCTTTTGCTATAGGTTTATCTGATTTATTAGTATCCCTAAAGATCTGATATTTGTCTTAATTTTGTTTATTTTCTCTTTTCTATTTAATTTTTTCCCAGTTTTATTTTTATTATTTATTTATTTATTTTGTTTGTTTGTTTGTTTTGCTTTGGTTTAGTTTGCACCTCCATTCTTAAGTTCTTAAGAGCATTAAGTTTACCTACCTTCTTTTTGTGTATGTATTTAAACATTTAAATTTCACTCAAATGACTGCTTAAGATTCATTCACAGAGTTTGATATGTTGTATTTTTATTTCGTTCAGTTCAAAACGTATATGCTTTAAAGTAATATGTATATACATTTGCTTTAAAGTAATACATATATACATTAAAATGTTGTAGAAGATACAAATGCAAATAAACTGCACAAGAAAAATAACTAAAACATAGTGTGATATTTCTTACAGTTTAAAGGTTAGAAAAATTATATCCAGATCAGTATAGCAAGAAGGCCTATGTTTCCCTTCTTAGTTCCAGGAAAATTACAGAATGTTAGAGTAATAAAAGAGAGGAACAATATCATTTTTTTAGCACATTGACTATTATGTAAGTACTATTCCCTATGACATATGATGTTTGAAATCAAGTATAATATTTCAAATGTAAATTGAGAATCAATTATATTTATGGGTAATATTTATAAACATTTGTAACTTTAAAAAATATCTTTAGAAAAATCAAGTAATCAGAAGTCAGGAACTATGTATACTAATTGTGACTCTAATACTAAACTGGGAAATCTTAGAAAATGATAAATCTGTAAGGCATTACTCATCTTTAAAAAATAGATATTAGTAGGCATCTCATTAAAATCTAATATGAAGTTTTTTCATTGCAATTATACAAAATTTGATAATTTTAATGATTATTTGAATACAAACTAAGAGTACCTATAAAAAGAGAATATGCAAACGTTTTTGCATCATGGAAAATTATAGTTTCTAAGGGTAGGATTTACCAGTTGGTTGAAATATGACATTAAATAGAACTTTGTAGGCAACCAAAATCTTGCATTATTGTAAGTACAGTTTCTAAAAGCAAGCCACTTTAGATAATCAAACAAAATAATACTTTTAATAAGGCTGTACATTTTTCTTAATAAAGTCTTAATGTTTCTGAAATCAAAGACAAATTTTTGTGAGTCTTTTTTCGTGCCCAGATCTCTGCAGTCACTTGGCTTACTTGCAAAACTCTGGCTTTAGTATAACTGAAATAAAATTGTATTGTAATATCTGATTTACTTGATATTATTGAGTATCCTTGAAAGTTTAATGGAATGCATAAGTTTAGAAGGGTATGGCATTCTCACCAGTGGAATATTATGATTTTGTCTCCTGCAGGTGCTCCAAGTGACCAGAGCAGTGGCACCTCCTCTCCTCTCTGTGACAGTGGCTTACATCTCAACTACCACCCCAATAATACAGTAAGATGACCCAGGCACAGCTCAGATTAATAAGGAGATAACACATAGTTTGTAAAAACTGCTAGTGAATCTGATTTATGTGATAGATAGGAAATCCCTGATTGCATAATCATTTAGGTATTATGATAAACAAGAAATGGAAAATAAATAGGTCAGGGTTTTTATGCCATTTTTTCCCCTCTCAAGTCTGTATGGATTAAGTTCTTTTTAAGCAATAGATACTATTAACTTGGGGAGGTCACTGGGAATGTATAATATCATACAATCGTTTTAGAACATTGCACATTATATGTGATTTCAGGTTCAAAATGCTTTGATATTAGTTTTACCACTTTTTTCTTTTGAAATTACTTAACTAAAAGTACCTATTTAATTTGCCATTTGTTAGGAATTTTTAGCCAGCTTTACGCACAGTAAGCAATTACTGCAGTGAGAAAATCCGATTCACACGTTATTTTAACATGTAATGAACGTTTATACATGTATTTAGTAAAAGTTAAAATTAACCTTTGTTTTGTAGATATTTAATAAAATTTTAATCTTTGTTTTCTACTTGCATTTTGAGTAAATTGATTTTAATATTTTATAAATGTTTTTGAAGTTCCTTGTATTTCATCCTTCAAAACACTCACACATTCTTAAAGAAATAATTTTTTCTGGTTACAAGCACATCTAACAATCATCTTGCAGGCTTACAAACATGAAGAGAAGCAGAGGTGACCTTAAGCAGAATTTTTTTGTTCTATTCCACATATTATGGTACAGACATCATGTAGCTTCTTCTACCGACTCGTATGATTCATACTGCATTTGAAATTTTTGTCAAAATAGTGGCATTTTAGTTCAAAGCAATCTTTTTGAACATCTTCAGTCCTGAATGGCCTTCACTGTACCTGATTTCCCCAGTATTACTCTTCAGCTGAGAACCTTAGGCCCTCAAGTTGTCGACTTTTTTCCGTCATAAAAAGACATTTGCCAAGACAAAAGGTTATCTGTACAACTGTAAGGATATTTTAGGATATTTTCTAAAACCAACCTCAGCTGGATATATTTCATGTGGCCATCTTTGAAATCTTTTTTTTTTAGTTTTTTTTTAGGAGACAAAGAAATTGCCACACAAAAAGGGGCATTTAAAACCACAATACAGCAATGATGGGAGTGACTTAAAATTTATGAGGAAATATACAGGTTTCCTAATGAAACACTTAGATATACAATGAAGTTTTTTACCTCTTGATTTTGTAATTACTGTGCTCACCTTCTTCCCTCCCAATCTAGATGCCTTCAATAATTTCAATGCACTTCTGTTTTCCTTCACTACACTGGTGCACCTGCCCTAAGTAGCTGGAGGTGCCCATTCACAGCTGATCCCTCTTCTCTGGATCCCCTTTGCCTGGGAGTCAGAGCTCACCTGGGTGTTGGGAACTACATACCCTGCTTCCATCAGTCCTGAGAGGTTGCTCCTGAGAGTGACCCTCCACATGTCCCTCAAACAAGAATTTCCATCTCAACTCTGATCCTAAGACAGAAACAAGAGCACACTTACTTCAGAGTGGGAGAAAGCTGTTTGGAGCTGTTTTGTTCTAGGTCTTGTCTCATACCCTTGAACTCCTGTATAATAGCGAGAAGCAGAGGAGTCCGAATGGCAGGTCTAAGGGTAGAAATCATTCTGGTTTGTCTTTAACCCATTCCATTGACATATAGAAAAATGTGTACAGAATAATGTCCTTCCTTGGAAAACTACAATTACAGCAAGAAAATCACCCCAATTCTATAACATGACTGATCCCCAAAAAATTCAGTTTTATAAAATTAAAAATAAAGCAACTGTTACAAATTCCTCTTACTGGAGCTATGTCTTCCCATTTCCAAAGGCACATTTTATTATCCTTTGAGCATTAGAATTGAACATTCTTTTGACATTGTTGAAGATATTTCAGTGTAAGGAAATTGAAAGTATTTATCATGATGCTATAGAGAATAATAATAATAAATATGAAAACAAAACAAAGTATATTCAAAATAAAGACAAAAGTCTCAATACATATCAATTAAATGCATTTTTGTTGAGAACTTACTCTGTGGAAACACCTCTCTATTATACTTTGGGGAACAGTTAATTATGATTTTAACACAAGAACAGTAAGATCCAGATCTGTAGACTAAAGCATAAAATTAACTATAACATAAGCAGAAAAAAGAAGAATGAGTAGCAGCATTCTAATAACAGAGGTAAAGAGCTGTAGAGACTTTGAACATCTGACTAAAAAATTCAAAACAAGTTGATAGACTACAAACCAAGTGTGTGCTTTGTTGCCCACATGGGAGACTAACCTGCAATGGTAATCAGACCATGCAGGCTTGCACAGCCAGGGAGAGCACGTGCTGTTCCTTCTGTATCTTGAATAAGCTTTGATAGAGGAATGGTGAGTGGAGAACACCTCTACTCAGAGGTGTACAAAATTTGGAGAGGTCAAAGACATGAAATAACAACAGACAGTAGGCACTCGGAAGGAAGAGTGCATTGTGAGGCAAGTTTTCTTTCCGCAGAATACGTGTATATTATAGACAGTCTACTTAAAAGAAACATTTGATTCTCTGATGTGTCTTAATTCTCGGTTCTATCCTAGGCTTACAAACTGCCTTTTCAATGTCTATACCTTGATCTGAAGCAAATTTTGCGTATTTATTATTCTGGTTTTCTGAGATGTCCTTACTGTATTTTAAGGCAACATTTTAAGTCTAAGGGGAAATAAAGGATTATAATATATTAACATCATTCCACCATCCTACATACAAATATCATCTATTCTTTCCAAGGATGCACAATATCACTAATTTTAAGGGATATGAAAGTCACTTGTTTTGCCAACCCCGACCTTGGCTCCTCAGCCCCAGCCCAGATTCACTGAACTTCTCTCTTGAAATGGAGTAGGATTTGTTTTGTGCTTACCAGAAGATTCTGATTCAGATAATCAGCTAAACAGACTGAGAAACATTTTTCTTAACGGTACACTTTTAATTAATACATCCTATGCTGCCAAATCCTTAATAAAATCTGGGTCAGCAGTTTGCCCTGTGTGAAGTTCTGTTTTGGTAAGATAGTTGTTCTTGAGTTTATTGTGTGGCATGTACAAAATTTTGGGAAAAGAGCAAGGAAACATAAATGCTTCTTTTTACAATCACATTATTAATATTTTAGGAAACAACGTTTTTGACATTGTAGAGTAGAGCTATTGAAAAACAGTCATGGTTCTCAAAAGCACAAAAGTGGTTGTGTTTTTAGACTATCTTTTGTGCAAAAATAAATCTGACTGTGATTCCAAATTATGATTAGAAAGTAAATTTATATTCTATTTACATAACTAAAATAAGTAAGGAGAAAAATTCTTTAAAGGATAACTTATCTTCCACTGTAAATAACAGGTCTGTAATATGAAATGTATCAACTTTGTTTAGTCAAATATCTGAAGAGGGACTTATTACATATTTCTTATAAACAAGAAACATAAGAAAGTGACATATTTATACCTTTGGTACATAAAGGCATCAAATCAAGATGCCACAGAAAGAATGTCAAAGGCCACATATATTTCCATACTTACCAATCTATGAAATGGATTGCTATGGTTTGCAAAAACCTACCGTATTCATGTATTGGTGATTAGTCAGTCCCCAACATCTCATTATCCATGTCTTTAATAATCTTCGACATATTCTGTCCCATTTATTGATGAAACACAAAATTTGAGGGAAATTATTATTGTATTTTATGAAAGATGAGAAATTATTTTTAAATAATATACTTGAAGATATATAACCAAAATGTGAAATAATCAAGTAAAAAAATCCAAATTATTTTCCATTGTTTCACCTCTGATTATAAGTGTTGAATGTTAAATGTGCTGCAGTAGATCTGTTGGCTCTGCTATCAAAGAGCTGTTAGTCTAAGTGAATCCTGGGGGTGCCCTTTGCTGGCTGGGCAACTTGGGTAGATTGTTTACTATAGAACTTAGTAATGCATGTGTGTACTGGGGTTCTGGGAAGGAGTTTCAGTCATTGCCAACATGAACCTTGCTTTGTGCAGCTGGGTGGGTCCTGGGCCACTTGCAATCCCTGTGGACATCTCTGACCTGGCCACAGAAACCTAGTTGGTTTACCCAAGCCTGCCACGCAGTATTATTGCTTCCTCATGTTCCCTCATGATGAAAAGGTGAGAAGTAATAATAAAATGTTTCTTAAAAAAACCTTCTCGGCTCATGCCTGTAGTCCCAGCACTTTGGGAGGTCAAGGCAGGCAGATCACCTGAGGTCAAGAGTTCAAGACCAGTCCGGCAAACATGGTGAAACCCCGTCTATACTAAAAATACAAAAATTAGCCAGGTCTGGTTGTGGGCGTCTGTAATCTCAACTACTTAGGGGGGCTGAGGCAGGAGGATCACTGGAACCCCAGTGGCAGAGGTTGCAGTGAGCTAAGATCATGCCATGTACTTCTAAGTGATAGAGTGAGACCCTGTCTCAAAAAATAAAAAATAAAAATAAAAATACCTTCTGATTTTCCCTTCAAATATGAACATAGTAAGAGCTTTGTTTTCAAAGATGTTGCAAGTGGTGTAAGTCAAGCACTTTGTACAGGCAGGTATTATTAAAACTACTATTAAATAGTAACAGCAATATTCCTAAAAATGTCCTCCTTAAAAGTTCCATGTTTAGAAACAATTTTGCCCATTATTTGAGCTTATTATTTTTGAGAATACATTATTTGATACTTTTTACTTACAGCTACCAAGCGATGCATCTAATTAGTTTGTTTTAGTAAATGTTAAATTACCATTAGCCTTTTAGGTATATTGAAAATAGTATGGAGTTATTTAGCTGGGCTATATTCTAATAACTTTTTCATTTGTTGCTGTAATCTTACCAGTTGTTACCATTATTATCCCCACTTTGAAAATAAACACAGTAAGACAGAGACTACGAAATTTGCCCCCAGGTAATGGACTAGTCAGCTGGGAAATTGGTATTCAAATATAAGTGGTCTGATTCTGACTTGCAGCTTAAGCGCTCGCCACATTGTACTGTCGCCTAGCTGACCCCATATCATGCGCTGACCACCTATAACAGCTGACATAAAGAACTGATTCCGTGTCATGAACTGACCACGTATAACAGCTGACATGAAGATCTGACCTCACGTCACATGCTGATCATCCATAACATCTGATATGAGGCCAGGAGAAAGAATAATATGAAACCTAGGTTTGTGCCTTTGCAGTCACCAGAGAGGCATTCAAAGCAACTGGCTAGCATTGAAGGACAGGTGTCTTGGAGGCTGAGGTGCTCACTGAGTCACTAATAGGGACCCCTCACTAAGTGATCTTAGCCAGTCCACCCTTCCAGGTATTCTAAACCGCTCCACTCACTTAGTACGTTTTTGTTTGCTCAATCTGAAACAATTAACATAAAAATGCCGGGCAACATACAACCTTTAGTAAAAGTAATACTATTTTTCACTGGAAGAATTGTTAAAAAAATTTAATGCCTGAGAGTAATGCTTAATAATATTTAGACTTCACAGAGTTTCAATATCTAGACTAAAATAGAATCTTCTTCCAACATTATCACTCAAAAATTAGTGAATAAAGGGAAGTCAATGTTACCAGTTTACTGGCCAAATTGAGCTTACAACCCATGTCAACTTGAATATTAATATTATTTGATGCGCTGGTGTGATGAAGAAATTTTAACATTAAAGCTGAAATAATGAAGAAACATGAATCAAGTGAAAAAGCCCAAATTTTATCAAATGTAAGTCTCCTCCATGTAGAAAGGGATAAAAAAGCTCTAACAAAACTTAAGATATGTATAATTTTAAGCCAACAATAGTTGCCTTGATATGCAAATAAAACAACATAAGAAAGTATAAACTCTTTAAGAATATGAAGTTAGAAAACCAAGCACAGATTTCCTTGAGTAGTGTTTTGAAAGTTGTTTTACAGGAATGCTCATTCTATTAAAAAATATTTGCAAAAAACTGATAAATTAAAAACACTTATAATTGTGCTTGACACTCATAAAATACTTGCTAATTGAATGAACTACCAGTTTTTTTTTTATTTTTTCACTTATTGGTTAATTATACTTACAGTTTTTTTCCCACTTTTTCCATTCTTGAATAAATTATGTTCTGTCACACTCTTATCCTTTCCTTCCATCTCCACTCCTCATTTAAAAATATGTTTTCACTAGCATTCTTAGTCTCAATAATTCCTTTCTTAACTTCTTATAGCATTCTATTAATAAGTGAGTTAACCAATACAACTTTAGTGTCCGTAATATGGAATTCTTCTCATGGTATTCCATAAAAGTCTTTTGATCATTTAGGGGAAAAATAATATCCCCCAGATGAAAGGGGTTTGGGACACAGAAACTCAAAGCACAGAAGAAAAACATTACATTTAAATATTTGTCTTCCTTTCAGGACACATTATCATGCTCGTCGTGGCCGACATCTCCAGGCTTGAGGTGGGAGAAGCGATGGTGCGACCTCAGACTGATCCCTCTACTACACTCACGCTTCTCTCAGTATGTGCCCGGCACAGATTTGAGTCGGTGAGTCCATGTTTATGGGTTACGATTGTTTTGCTTATTAAAAAAGAGGCCTTTTAGGAAACCCTTTAAACATATCACAGTATGCCTTATGATTTTAGTATGTTTTTTATAGTAGAAAGAAGAGCTTCAAAATAGTAATCTAACAAAGTTGAACACTTACTATTCTGATGACAAAACCACAAGTTAAAGCCCCGACTCTGCTATTAACTTATTCTAATGGATTCAATGGATTCAATAGATAGTTTTATTAAGTTTTCATATTTCCTCTTGTGTTGTTTACTTCTCAAGAATATTGCATAGTTTATTTATTTATTCATTCATTCATTTATTTTGAATCAAGGTCTAGCTATGTTGCCCAAGCTGGAGTACAGAAGTGCGATCTTGACTCACTGCAACCTCCACCTCCTGAGTTCAAGTGATCCTCCCACCTCAGTCTCCCGAGTAGCTGGGACTGCAGGCACATGCCACCATGCCCAGCTAATTTTTTTGTTTTGTTTTGTTTTTGTAGATATGGGATTTCACCATGTTCCCTAGTATTGAACTCCTGGTCTCAAGTGATCTGCCTGCCTTGGCCTCCCAAAGTGCGGGGATTACAGGCATAAACCACATGCCCAGCGGCATAGTTGGTCCAAATTATAAGATTTATTTTCTGCTTTTAATATTCTTATATTATTATCTATTTTACTAAGTGTGAGATAAGTAGTGTCCTCCTTTTCATTCTGGAAATTTTTTTTCTCTTTTTATCTTGGTCAGTTTTGCTAAGGAGTTGTACATTTTGTTAATTTTTAAAAAATGATTAATTTGGGACTTTCTTGGATCTCTTAACTTATATATATACTTTATGAGCCTCTGCTTTTTCCCTGATTGTTTCCATTTCTTAAGTTTTTCTGCTTGAATTTTTGTTCTTATTGCTTTTTGAGAGATATAAGTTCCGGGGATTGGGAAACTTTTCTGTAAAGAGCTGTATAGTAAATATTTTATGTTTTGCAGGCCTTAATATATCTGTCACAAAGTACTCAGCTCTGCTGTTCTGCCACAAAAATAGCCATATACAATATATAAATAAATGAGCACACCTTTGTTCCAATAAAACTTATTTACAAAAACAGGTGTCAGGCTAGATTTGTCCCATAGGCTTTAGTTTGCGAGTCCATTTTGATAATTAATTTTAAGACTTATTTTTCCTAATATGTATTGCCAGATCTTCACATTTCCAGCAAACACTCTTGTAGTTACTCCTGCAAGTTTAGCATCACCTCTTGACTTATTTATAGTATTTTTGAGTATATCACTTTGCATAGTTTTCTGACTGGTTGCTCGAGGTATATGTGTAGGTAATGTATCCCAGTCTACTGGTAACGTTTTACCACTTTGAATGAAGTATAGAAATGTTGCTTCCATTAAGATTCCTTTATCTTTCCTGTTTATAAAGATATTACCTTAACTTCCTATATGTACATCAAACACTGTATTGGGTGGTATTATGAATTTTGCTGCAACCATCAAATAAGATTTTAAAAACTCATGGAAAGGATAATCCATTATACTTAACCCAAAGTGTACCCATCAATGATCTTTCTGAATTTCAAAGGTTCTTTTATCGCTTTCTTTCTGCTTAATTTTTTTAGACATTCTTTAAAGGTAGATTTGCTAGCATCTAATTCCTTTAGTTTTCATTTATCTTAGTGGACACAGACTTTGGAGTTGACAGTTCTTTTCTTTCAGTAGCTAAAATACGTTAGGCATTAATGTCCACTGTCATTCAAATTGGTGTCCCCTATAAGTAATACGTTCTTTCTATCAGCTTTCAAGACTTTTTTTTCTTTTTTTTTTCAGTTTCAGAAGACTAATTATGAAGTATGTTGGCACATATTTCTTTAAGTTTCTCATAAATGGGCTTTATTCTGCTTCTTAAACCTGTGTGATTATGACTTTCAGCAAATTAGGGAAGTTTTGACTTTTATTCCTTCAAATACTTGTTTAGCCCCACTTTACATTCTCTCCCTCTGGATCTCTGTTGATGCAAATATTAACCCTCTTGTTATTGTCCTGCACATCACTGAGAAACTTTTTAAGAATCTGTTTTCTTTCTGTTAAACAGTTTGGGAAAGTTTATTGATCTGTATTTATGTTTTCAAATTTTATTTCCTGTCAGTTAACTCTGCTCTTCAGCTTATTCATCATTTTATTTTTTGTTGATTTATTTTTTCAGTTCTAGTTTATCCTTTTAAAAATAACTTCTTTTTTAAAGTTTTTAAAAACAATGTTATTTGTTTCAAGAAAACTTCTAATTGCTTGTTGAAGCATTTTTATGATGGTTACTGTGACATCTTTGTGAGATAATTTCAATATCTCATTCATTTCATTGTTAGTATCGTTAGTTCTTTTCTTGTTCAACTTGTGATTTTCCTGGATATTGATGTGACAAGTTATTTAACAAAATCATTCTAGACTTTGGATATTAAATGTTGAGATTCGGGTTCCTATTTAATCTGGGTTTTGTTGTTGTTGTTCTTGTTCTTCTTCTTGTTGTTTTTAGCAGGCAATCTCTTTGTTGTGAGGACTGCGTGGGTGTATATGTTAAGTTTCCTACTGCACCATGCTGACACCTGGAAAGGTAGATGGACAGGGTCATTCATATTTCTTGGTTGCTAAAGGTTGGAGGTAGAAGCTCAGCTCCCCACAGAACTCTACTGACAGAAGGAAGGAGGTGGACGGATAGGAGAGGCCAACTAGCTCCACCAAGTACCACCTCATTCCACCGTGGTGATAATGGTGGGAGAGACCCAGTTCCTTGCTGGGCCACACTTGTCAGCACGGAAGTGGAGGCACAGTACTTACTTGTCCCATCTCCCACAAGCCCGTTTAGTCTGATTGTTGCAGGTGAGTATGACAGTTCAGCTGTCCAGGACACCCCACTGACACTACCCTGGCAGGGAAATTGGAGCCCGCTTCTTTAAGGTGTAGGATGGAAGACCAGCTTCCTGCTAAGCCCTGTTGAAAACCTTGTGAACAGGGAGACAATGTATCCATTGATATTTGGCTGAATTTGGGCAGGTATTGCCAAAAGGTTTTGTTTTGTTTTTAGTGTACCCATTCTCTAGTCCTTTAGAGTAACAAGTTTCCATTGTAGGCTTTATGTTTTTAAAAATCTTGCTGTTAGCCATTCAGAGTGGAGGATTCAGAGGGTCATGTCTAGGACATGCAGGAGGAAAAGCCAGGGGACTTAGCACTTTTTTTTATCCCTGAGTTTGAAGTCCCTAGTCATTCATGCTTACCTGTTCACCTCACAGGGGCTTCCCATACTTTTGTCATGTTATGTTTGAAGTTCTTTAGTTGCATCAGGAAGCATCTGATAAGAATGAGGTCACTTTGTCTTGGCCAGAAGAGGAAATCCACAAATATTGATATTCATATATTTTTAAAAATTCATTTGATAATGTTTTATTTTTGTTATAATTACTTCTTTGACCTATGGACTATTTAAAAGTGTATCATAAAATTTCAAAATATTTGTGGATTTTCTAATTATCTTTTTGCTATTTCTATTTAGTATAATTTCATGCTAGATGATTTCAATGCCTTGATAATTGTTGAGGCTTGATTTTACTCAGCATATATGTTAATTTGGGAAATGTTTTATATGTATTTATAAAGAATGAGTATTGTAATTTTTTTTAGTGCTGTGTTGTACACATTTCAACTAGGCCATATGTGTTCATTAGAGGCTCTGATCCTCTGCATCAGTCACGATTTTTTTTCAGTTTATTGTATTAGGTTTTATATGAAGACGGTAAAGTATCCCACTATGATAGTAGATCTGTGTGTTTCTTTATATTGTTGAGTCAGGGTTTACTGTGTATATTTAATTATGTTGTCAGATACAAGTAGATTCAGAATTTTTATAAATTCCAGTTATATGATGCCTGATAATTATGACATGTCCTATGCCTTTGGAAATATTTCTCGCCTTTAATTCTATCTATATTAGGATAAATAAAAAACAGATTTATATTTATTAATATCTACTTGTATATCCTTCTATCCTATTATTTAAACTGTTCTTAGTCTTACTGTATAAAATGTGCTCATTCTGCATTAATATATAGGTATATATACACATCTATATATTATACATATATTTGGAATATTCTTTTTTGTTTTTAATCCAAAGTAACAAACTTGGTCATTAAATCAAATTAGTCTAGTTACTTTTAATGTAATTACAGATATATTTTGAATATACCATCTTATTTTTTTCTGTTGAAAATCCTAGCTTTTTATGATTAAACCTTTTATTTTGAAAAAAATGTATATTCACATGCACTTGTGGGAAATACTATTTTCATTTACTCTTTGCTTATTATCCCAAATGGTATCATGTTGCAAAACAATAATACAATATCCCAACCAGAAAATTAACTTGAAAAAATTCACCACACAGATTTTACCTCTTTGCATGTGTGTGTGTGTGTGCGCATGCATGTTTATTTCTGTGAAATTTTATCACATATGCATGTTCCTGCATCCACCAGTGCAGCCAAGTTTTGTATGAACAGTTCCATCATTGCAGGCATTCTGTATTTCTTCCATAACTACACCAGCATCCCTCCTGCCCTCCTCCCTCACCACATTTCTAATCTCTGACAACTAATAACCTATTCTTCGCCTGTTATTTCATCTTATTGAGAACATTATATATGATACTATATAGCCTTATTTAATTCAATTTTTTGATGCATAATAGATGCATAGTTTTAGAATACATGTGATCATTTAACACATTCATAGAATTTGTAAAAATTGAGTTAGTATACTTACAATATCCATCATCTTCATATTTGTCTTTTCTTTATATGAGAACTATTCAAATCCTTCTTTTCTAGCTATTTAAAAAAATATACAATAGATTATTATAAACTACAGTCACCTTACTAAACTATTTAATACTAGGTCCTATTTCTTATATTAAACTATATGTTTGTATTCATCAATCAGCT